CTTGGACCAAGATGTTCCGTGTTGCATCAAACATTTGAATTCAAGCGAGAACCATTTCTCCATCAGTAAAACTGTTTAGTTTGCTCACGTTTCTTATAGCAGCTTTTGAGGTTGTGAGTTTGTAGTTTGTAGTAAGGCTGGTTATTGATTTGTTGATGAGGCTTAGGTTTTAACCTATAGAGTATTTATGTAAATATGAAATTTGTTCTGCTTTACTTTGGCTAAGATTGCTTTGTTGGATACGTTTAGGACAGGAAACCCAATATCAGTTGTGTCTGCTAACTCGGGCTGTGCGAGCTCAGCATGCCACCCATCCTTGGATGAGGTTAGGTTTCTAGGGTCCGTGGTTTTGTGCTGCTTTACTTTGGCTAAGATTGCTTTGTTGGATGCGTTTAGGACAGAAAACCCAATACCAGATGTGTCTGCTAACTCGAGCTGTGCGATCCCGGGCTGAAAATTAAAGGCTATGGATAGAGCATGCAGCTATGCCTCACAGGCAAGCCAAGTGGCCTTCTTTACTAAACTCTCTATTGTAGTGTCAGTGATAATGTCACTATTAACACACATTGCCTGTAACAGCCCGCACTTTATGGCTGATCCGCACGGATCTGAGTCCGCCTATGTTGGCCCAACATCATATCTTCTGGTAGTGGAGCACATTTTACCCTAGAATGAGCCGTTGTCCCACTTTATTTAGTTTGTTTGTCAAAGGACATGGTACTTTCAGCTCATGTGCACATGTACACCAATTTTTATTGGGGCTCCCGTAATCCCTGCGGGCGGTTACAGGCAATGCGTGTTAATTGTATAGTGGCTATTGCGATCATGTATTGCGAATTTCTTGATTTTGTTCCTTGAAGGTTGCTCCAGTACAGCAAGGTGAGCCACAGGCAACATCTGCCGCGCTGATCAGATCTCTTACTTTATTTGTTATTGCAGTTCTTTGGCTTGTGATTATCATCGTAATCTCTACAGTCTACGACTTGAAGATGTAATATTAGAGGCTTACTACGATAACCCCAAAATAGCTTCAACTTGTTTTATTTATTGGAGACGTATTAGGTTTCAAGATTTTGGGAAGGGTATTGCCCTAATTGACTGGTTTCTGATTTTTTGGAATTATGTTTTCTGAGAGTGAATTGGGATCGCAGAGATACTCTGAAAAAATTTCAGAGAACATACACGAAACGAACATTGTTCTTTGCCACTACGGACATGTATTACTGTAGTGACTTGCAATCTAGTGGTGGCTCTTTCCACCTCCTGTCGATTGAAATTTTAACCCTATTATACTCCTACTTTGGACTCCGTCTTTGATACAGCTTGTCTTGTATTCGCTGTTGAGGTTGGGCCGATTACATTGTTGACTCAACATACAGTCGTCCCTGGTTAATAGTAAAGTAAAAGTGAGCTTTTCGTTTATCAAAACCACTCAAGCGATATGGCTTGTACATATATTGCAAAAGCTCTTATCAACACTGTTTTTTATTTGTCAAATACAGAACAGTTCCGTGCAAAGCGCTCCTTCGTACTAATAAAAAAAACCAATCTAGGTGATTCCCAAGTAGGATTTCGTATAGCATATGTGCATGTAGCCTGGGAAAGTCTCAATTTGATTCAGAAATGATGTACTATAACGTTTATGTACAACACGATCGCGGTCATCCATGATACGTTATTCTTTTTGGTAAAGATTTTCAACTCTTTTCAGTTATGCAAATCATGGGCTTTGAAGTACAACTATACAATGTGATGATGAATTATACAGAAACGCAGTTCTGAAAGCTTGCTTGTGCATGCACCGTAATGTAGTCGATTCAGCTGGAAGAGTCACTTCACGATTTTCACTCCAGCACCAAGATACAAGAGAGCATTCAGTAATGCGTCTCAACTTCGTGCTCGTTTTGGTCGCGGCCCTCGCTACAATGGCATCTGCTGGCTTCAGTGACTATGCGTATAAGGAACTGAAAGAAGACGATGATTTTGAGCCCTCCCCGGCGTGGACCAAGAAATGGACCGCGGAAATGAATCGCTGGGTAGACGAAGGGAAGACTCCATTGGAAGTGGCCAGATTCTTTAACAAGCAAAACACCCGCGAAGCGAGAGAGAAGCTCTATCTTTTCTATGATGCGTGGCTGGAGAAGAACCCTAATGTGACCACGTGAGCTGAAAGGGGTTTCCCGTGGACGGTGTAGGACGACACCGTGTTGCCATACCTAGTATGTCAATAATTTCAGATTTTAGACATACAATTGACCCCGAAATCGACGTACTATTTCAATTTATTCCATCTCTATCGACCAAGAACTGAGCAGCGAACTTCTACATTTTTAGGTAAAAATACCCACCGAAACAACTCATCTCGATCACATAACCCGGCTGTGCATTGGGACGGAATGACAGCCATGGGGAAAGCATCCGCGTTCTCCATGCTCGCTGAGACTGCGGTGCGATCTACACCTACTCTATTGATTCCAAAGTAGGATATTTAACTCGTCAATGCCTTTTTTATCGACGTAGGAGGAGTTTATCCAGCTCGAATGTGCGCGGCGACGGAATCACGCAAGTCTTAAGCCTCGGGTATCACAGTTCCACGTATCGGCTCACAAATCACGTCTCAAGGAGAAGCTAGCGCAGACTCGACGACACGAATTCCTACTTCGTGCCGATAACAAGGCTGCCCTGGTTAGTATTATCGACAACGTCCGCGAACTCGCAAATATTGGAGAGGAAAAAGGCGATGGGAGCAAAGCATCGCTACGCAACGGCCCCAGTCCGCTAGAGCGCGATCGCTTTAGGTCTTGGGCTGCAGACGTCGAGAGCCTTCTATTTGAGTTTGAACCTAGTGAATTTCACACCAACGATCCTCTATTACGCATAGTAGAGCGTTTCCAGTTTCTCCAGGATGGCCACGTGTGTCTCGCAGAAGTGGCGATGGACGCCAGATCCCTTCTTGAGCGCTGGGATCGCGCTGGTATCTTCGACTCAGAATCCTCCAGCGAAGACGATGATGATGATAACGACGACAGGAGTGAGCTGGTGCACTCTAATGGTGGCTTTCTCTCTCCTGATCCCGCAAAAGAAAACCTCCGACAGTTAGAACAGTCGTATGCCTATCGAAGTGTTCGGCAACGTGCAGCAGCAAGTATCATCAAGCGTAATGTGCTCATCTGGGTGCGATCCAAGGCTTCATTTTGCGAGCGTGTTGCTGAAATCGAGATCTTTGGACGTACCACTGAGGCACTTCTCAAGGAACTTCGACTGACAACCACCGCTCTTGCTGGGGTTAACATAAATGGAAACTCTGATCTATTTGCCCTTGCAACTGGACGAAGCGACCTGAAATCGAGATACAATGTTAGTATTGCTTTCAAGGACTTACTGCAATTCTCCAAGCACATGGCACTTTATCCGGTTGACCAGGCTCTTCGTACTGTGGAAGATGTAACTCGACGCCGATATCTCTTCGACTCGCGGTGTGCATTGAAAATCCAAGCTGTGTGGCGTCGAGTAGGAGCAACGGTACGAGCCCGGCGACTTCGTCGAGCTGTGGAGGAATTGCGCTTGAAACGGGAAAAAGAGGCTCAAGCAAAGCGCGATGCTGCTAAGGAAGCGAAAAAGAAGGCTTCTGAAGGGAAACGTAAGGTTGTCAAAGCGCTGAAGAGGTCGAGTACAAAGAGATCGTCCTTGATTTCTTCAGCAGTCTCCAACTTATCATCCATATCGTCTGCTCCACTAGATGAGAATCCAGAACCACCGAAAGAGGTGACACCACCTGTGAGCCAGGAACCAGCAAAAGATACCAACGAGAAGCGAAAGCATTCTCCACCTGTTCCACCCATAGACACATCAAATCGCCGAGTTAGTACCCGTGGCAAGACCAGCGAAGACAGGTATACGTCACCGACATCAACTCCTCGAAGAAGACAGCGAGCATCTCAATTCATTGCTGCGAACAACCATGACAGTGACGATGACACTACGGATGTTGAAGCCGCCTGGAAGTCATTTATGGATACTGTTGCGGTGGAATTGCCAGAAGAGGCTCCAGAAGAAGCTATAGTACCAGACGAGGAACTAGTGACGGACCCAATACTTCCCACATCACCGATAGAAAACACTTGGGAGGCATGGTCGGATGACGAGAATGAAGAGGGGAATAACGATCCAGACGATAACGTTAGTCGCCCACCCACTTCGTCGACCCCACCAACGCCAATACCTCCCCGAATCAAGATTGTGGTCTCTATCAACAAGAATGACGTGTCTGAAGTGGAAACTACAGCTCGTCCACTACCTCGAAAGGAATACAAGGCACCTAGGAGAACTCAAACTCGACCTTATACAAAACCAAGTGCTCCAGCCATTAGACCACCGTCATCTCTTCCGTTTGATGCGACGCTGCAGAATTACACAGGCCCATACACTGGTGCTGGTCAGCTGAGCTTAATGGCACCTTTTATTGACGCTGATAGACGCAAAAAGTCACAAGTTAGCGTCGCTCCTGAGCGCAAACACTTGTACGAACTCGACTTCAGTACCGAAAAGATGGATACCTCGTTCCTTCACGCTATCCAAGCCTTAGGAGTGTTTCATGAACCAGAAGAACCGCAAGTAGAGGACAGACCAAAAGCATCTGAGAAGGTCGAAGCTGTCGTCGAAGTCCCGCGCAACCTCTCTAGACGGACAACGGTGGCAAGACTTCGAAGCATCACTGGAGATGAGGAGCAAAGAGCTCGAGTTCGCACGATACTTGATCCCAACAATCAAGAAAATGAGCAGTCTAGCGACCAGCACCCACAGCTTTCTCTTCACCGGGGTAAAACAAACCAGCCTGGTTACATCATCTATGACACACGGGGTAAGCCAGCTGTACCTTTAACTATTGTTATAGTTACTTGACGCTGTTGTGGGTTCATGAACAGGTATGAAGGCACGACGAGAGGTAGTCTTGCGTAAAGGTTCAAGAGCTTATTCGCCGCTGTCTGCGCGACCTGAAGAGGAGACAACAAACGCAGTCGATTCAGACGGAAAAGAAAGCAAAGCGTGGCATCGCTCTACGATCGCAGCGATTCCAGAGGCAGTAGGGATACCACATCCTCCTGTTGATCGCTTCCGATCTCGTCACAAAAGACGCCAGAACGGGTCACAACGCACCCTCACTAACACTACAAACCCAGTAGAATCAATCGATCCATCTATGAAAAACACACCCAAGAAGGCAGAAAAGCGTAACGAGCTTCCATTGCTGCTACGTAAATCACGGGCAGCTGCACGTCGACGAGGGATTGAGATCCCATTGCCAGAAGATAACGAAGATCACAACGAAATTCCGGCTCCCGATGCAAATAAACAAATGTGGAAGCGCGGTGGGGAATTGCCGGAAGTAGCACTGGCACAGATCCGCGATCGTGTGGGGTACAAACCGCGGTCGGCGCATCCCAAACGGATGTCAATCATTGCTGGACGTGCTCCTCCCGCACTGGGTGGTCAGGGCGATGACAACAATTTTCCGACCACGGTCTTAAGTGCACTTAACGATCAGCAAGAAATGATATTTTCTGTTGACGAAGAAGACGAGCAATACCAGGATAGCGATATATCCAACGAAGATGATGGTGAATACAGTTCGGATCCAGCTCATAGTGACGAAAGCATCGGAGGTGACCAAACAAGCACGGACGGGGTGTATGATTTCAATAGCGCTCCAGACGAAAACAGTGACGAGTTGAGCGAGGAATTCCGGCTTCTACATTTGGCGAGTCAGGAGCGCAAGATCAGCCGTCATCGTTCATTGCTCGGTCATCTTCAGAGTGAAGAAAACGCTGTTGTAGAGGATACCAGACGAAACTCCATAGACGTCGGTCCGCAGCATCAGCCCAAGCGGAGATGGCCACGGAATCGCAACCAGAGGCGAAGTGTGAAGTTAGTGGATGAAGAAAGCGGCGTCGCCACCGCGGACGATGTAGACGTATCTGTTTGGCACTACAGATCAAGTGACGAGGATACGGACGCTCGCTCGCACCGTCGACTACGTGTCAAGACGCGAGATGCTAAAGCGACCCCTTTTGAGGAGCTTAGTGAGGACGATGAGTATGGACACGGCAATGAACAAGAGGGAGACGTGGGGATCCGACTTGGCATGACGCAAAAGGAGCGCGATGTCGCATTCCATAAACTTCTTACTCAGTATCTTGGACTGCTGCAGTGTGCGCCGGCAGAGGTAGCACGACGCCTCCGAGTCCCCATTTGAGATGGGCCTTACATCTCAAGCAATTTTTTTGTTGTCTAAGTAATTGAATTGTATACCAACCGGTTTAGTTTTGATAGCTATGCCTATGTAAGCATAGATGGAACAATGGCCTTACGATCATAAGTCATCAAACTCGTCGTGCCTTTCAGTGAGTTTCCGTACTTCTGTGCTAGGAACATGAGAACCAGGTCTCAGATCTACTGATGTTCCTGTCGTATTACTGTAGTCCATGTTTAACCTTGTCGGCTATTTAGTTTCGTCTATCGTACTAACATCATCAGGCAACACTGGCACTCGGGACGTGGTGAAGGTCATTGCCGTCGCAACGCGACAGCTATCATTGGTAGCTTGGTAGGCTAAGCTTTTCAACGGATCAAGCCACAAAGCACTGTTACCTGCGTGTTAATCGAACAAAGATATCCAATCCACGGCTACATTACCTCTCGGACGAGAATTGTTTTGCGTGGAGATCTACGTCTTCCGTAGTAACTTGGCTTGTGCAGCTCAAAGCTATAAAATAGATGAATTATGCATAGGTGCTAGCAAGAAAAAAAGAAAGTGTTTATAAGAAACCTGCATTATTATTTTCAGCGACGTATAATTACTGAAAGTTGACAAACATGTGCACCTCATTAGTTAATGTACACCACATCAAAATCCGACTCTCAACCAACAACTACAGTACTCAACGAGCAACTAGAGCCACGGGATCAGCGTCGCAATGGACACGTCTGCTGCGGCCTCTCACGACGACGAAATGCTTGCGCTGACGCTGCAAGATGTTGAGGACTCGGAGCGCCGTCCGCCGCCCAAGCCGCGCGCTGCCGAGACATCCTTTGAAACCTTTACTCACGAGAGCGCGGAGCCGAGTGAGCCTCTGTCCATGCCATTGACGCTACCGACGTCGCCCACGTTGCTTCCGCTGTCCTCATCGCCGTCTTCCACCGCGTCTCACCACCGTCAGCAGCAGCTGAGCGTGCAACAATACTTCCAGACCGAGAGCAGCGCCGGCGGGGATTTTAACACGGAAATGCAGAAATCTAACGACGAATATCGACGCTTAACAGACGCAATTAACCTGAATGTACCGAATGTTACCGGTTCAGGTACCGGTACAAGTGGACGTTTGATCACCTCCACACCTCACGGGGTGGACATAACGTCCACTTTGACACCGCCACACAAGGGTAAGAAGAGAAAGCAAGGCACCAACGTAAGTATCGACCTACAGACCAAGATCCGTATCATCGAGGTGGCTGAACAATACCAGTATGACCCCAAGAGCTCCAGTCGCAGTAAACAAGAAGGCGGACTGCCTGGTCATCACGGTAAGGAGATCGTGAACGGCATCCGTCTAGCAGAGCAATTCGGTCTCAATAAGAGCACTGTAAGTCGCATCTTGAAGCGTAAAGAGGAGTTCAAGAAGGCCTACTACAAGGACAATATCTCGGGCTGTTCCAAGCACATCAACAAGAAATCCAAGTTTGATAAACTCAATCGACTGGTGGAGAACTGGTTCGACATGAACCGAGAGAAGAACGGGACGATATCAGACACTCTGATCCGAGATGTTGGCAAAAGATACGCAGAGGAGCTCGGTATCGAGGATTTTCGAGGATCGAACGGCTGGGTGCGTAGTCTACGCAATCGCAAGGAGCATACAGCACGAAATACAGTGTCGATCGAGGAACAAGAAGCTGAGAAGAGGAAGAAAGACAGTGAGGCTATCGAACGCATGCGGAACATTTTTCCCAATGGTGTCAAGGACATGGCTGGATTCTTCAAGGATCTATCGACATATCTGGAGAAAGATGGCGCTGGCATGGGCGGATTTGGAGATATTAGCGGTAACAATAGTAGCAATGGAAGTGCGAGAGATGCTGCCATGACGCTGGCGGGGGCGTCATATACGGACATCGACGACGGTATTCCACGCGACGATGACGGAGCAATGGCAGAAGAATTTCTCAAGAAAAAGATGATCGACTCGTTACGTATTTGGTCTCAAGAACTCATGGCATCGGAGCTGGCCAAGCTCAAGAAACGAATGAAACCGCGTCAGGCAGCTATTCTATAAGCACTGTGCTGTGATGCGGACAATGTGCGTGTGTCAACCGGCTATCTATCCGAGTCAAGCGTGTATAATGCTGATATCACTCTTTTCCATTGCTCTACCCTTTCGATTCTTGTTCAGAACCGAGATTTTTTCATTGCAGACTCGTGACGACCATCGCTATTTCACGTTGGTATTTCTGTCTAAACCCCGCTAATTTTACCAATCTTCTCTGTCGCCAGAGACGCTGGTCGCGCGAAGTAATGGCTCCGGCACGACGTATATTCCCGAGGAAAGACATTACACTAGACCGTGCTGTCAATGCTGGAGTTAGTCTGCCAAGCTTCAACTTCGTGGAGACTCGTCCGCCTCGTCGACGTCGGGATGGTTCACACTCCGTCAGAAATCTCGAGCTTCCAAGTCTCAACGGAGCGACACAAGCAGCAATTGTAGATCTGGATGATGTGCTCTACGCCACAGTATCCCGACGAGCAGAGCAGTTCGAAGACCCATCGATGACTCTGGAGACCAAGATGGCTCGAGTATGGCAGGCATTGCTCCGACACTCCGAAAGCGGACGTTTTGGGAACCCTAAAGCGGGTCCTGTGAACCCTATTTGCACCGCTCTATGTCTTGAAGCCACAGAGCAGATTCTCGCGGCGTGTGGAGCATCAACTTTGCTACGGAATGTACTCGTGGGTGGGCTTGCGAACTCCATCTACGCAGAGTATGATCCGGATCAAGGCTTTGAAAAGCAGCAGCAATACGCGCACGTCGTAGGGCGTCAGAACAAGCAGATTGCTGCTCAAGAAGAAGAAATCGCGAAGCTTGTGAAGATGCGGGAGCTTGCAGAGCAGCACGTGTTCGATCAGCTCAGTGCGGCCGGTGTGGGTCAACTGCTGCAACAAATGGACTTGTCTCGTCGGGTGAGTGCTGTGACTGAGATGTTGGCTCCTGTGCTGGATGACGAGATGCTACTTGTGCTCTGGAATGCTACTGCTACAACCCAAGCGTCTGCTAACCAGCTCCTACACTCTCAAGCGACAGACAATGACGAGGTTGATCCAGCTCAAGAGAAAATGTCCTGGAAGGAGACCCGAAAGCGTGGAGCTGCACTAGCTAGTCTCGTGCTCCAAGAACGCGTTCGTCTGGTGATTCTGGTGTGGCAACGATTGAGTCCTGAAGAGAAGAACTTGGCTTACAAGGCACTGGACCCCTCGATCTCCGCCACACAGGCGGTTGCTACACTCAAGAGCGTCCTGCACGCACTGGAAGAAACCTACGTGTCCGAGTTAATCCACCACCAGCGACAACTGTCGCGTCGGAACTTGAATCTGGCCTCGCAGCTGGGAATCATCAACGAGTCCGGCCCAAACGAGACCGCAGCTACTGGAAGACACCTCGCTTTGGCTCCTACAACCCCGCGTGCGTTAGGAAAACTACGCGTCAAAAGAGGCCGTTCACGCACGTTGCTACTAACTGGCGAGACTGTGGATTCAGGTTACGCGTCTGTGGAGTCCAAGGCGTCAATCCCACAGGTTTTACTAGGTGCTCTTGTGTCGTCAAGCCCAGGGCATGGACGTCTCAGTCAAGTTCAAATATCTCCAAACCAACGTTCGAGACCGGTGAGCTCTGGTATCTTGCCGGAGCAGTTGCTGGCATCTCACACTGATGTCCTCCGTACGTGCGAAGATGTCTTTGATCTGCTCTGTGAGGTGGAACAGCAGCAAGTGGCTGCGATGGAGCGACATAATGGTGACCACAGAGTAAACTTTGAAGAGATTGAAGAGGGGATATTGATGCAAGCGCGTTTAAAGCTCCGAGATCTTCTGTGTACGTACATAGAGCCATCCGAACCTATCCAGGAGCGCTATGACCGATGTGAGGAAGCACGCGAAAAGCGATTGGAGCTTGAGAGCAGTCGCTTAGATGATGAACGTAAGCTGACGGAGTTAGTACGTGCCATTATATCCGGACAACGTCGCAATCCGGAACTTCTCGTCAACGCTGTGAACCGCAGTCCAGAGACTCTGTTGAGTGCGATGTCGCTGAATCCAGGGATGTTATTCTTTTCTATCGTGAAATTTCCTGAAGTAGTGAAGAGATTCCTGTCTTTGGATTCGAAAGCGTGTGATTACCTGGACGGGTTAGTGCAGAAGCATAAAGGAGTGCAGTTATTATGGAGACCCCCAGGAGGAAACTACAGCCACGATACCTTCCTATCGACAAACAAAATGAGAAAAGCGTCAGTTGCTGCCGAGGAGTTAGCGTTAGCGCTACCGACTGGTGATTCGTTGGAACAAGGAGCAATGTTACTATTGGAGTGGTTTACATCGCATCTAAACGACTTTAGTGAAGCGTTGCTGGAGCATCCGAAGCCACTGCAATTGCTGTTCTCGAAGATGCACCAACGTGGCGATGTGTCTGCCTTCTACCAGATGATGTTACTACTGCAACAGACTCCAGGAGTCCAAAACTTCATATCACGTGCTTCAGTTGGAACGTTGGAGAGACTCGCGCTTGAAGATCAGACTGCTGTACTAGCTGTTCTGAGAGAGATCTTCCAATGCCGTGACAGCAGTGAAAATGGTGGAGAGAGCTCGCCACCTCGAGCGAATCGAGATTTACTACACGAGTTGCAAGCGTCTCCACATCTGTTGACGTGTCTGAGTTCTATGGATCCGAACGTGGTGCAGGAGGTTTTCCTGGGGAATGTGGACGCGTGGGGACCATTTTTTGTTGATATGATTGCTTCCAACGATGCTTTACTACGTCAGAGTATCGTACAGCGAGTACGTGATGCAAATGTTAGAGTATCCTTGTTTTATTTCACCCTAATGTTGCTTGCTTGATTAGACGAACCACGCTGAGGGTGGCGACACGTTGTTGCGTCTTCTCGCTGCGGTTATTGATGGCACTACTGGCGTACTGGACCTTGAAGCGTTGGATAGAGCTCTTTCGGCACCAGCCGTGGAGCAGGAGAAGCAGCGACAAGCCAGCGCACACAGGAAAGAGCTTCAATGCATTTACCTCCGCGGTCGCTGCACTGTTTTTCGAGCAGTTATCGCACCACAGATCGCGGTCGTCGGGTACAATCCTCGTCGCTACTTGTGTCAATCAGGGATCGTGAACAATTTTGCTGTATCAACAGCAGCTTCGTGTGCTCAAGACCGAGCCAGTAAAGAGAAAGGAGGACGAACGCTGCTACGTCCTCGAGCGAAGAAAGGGACCCCATCGGCTTTAACAAGGAAGCGCCATCCTCGAGGAGAAGTTGGCGGGTTCCAGACAGCACCAACCTCCAATGGAGACAGCAGTACAAGTGAAAGGATTCTACTAGCCAGAGGGGGTGAGATACCTACGATGTGGCAGCTGTATCTACGTGCTCATGCTGCGTTACAGTCAAGAGAAGACTCCGACGGACGCGAGACTCTCCCTGCGTTGTCTAAGGCTCGAACTAAAGCCTTAGTGCTGGATATCTGGCTAGAATTCCTCAAAGTTGACCACTTACAGCTCGAGACAACGAGTCTATGGACTGTAGCGCCGTTCGTGTGCGACTACTTGGCGGCACGGTACAACGCGCCTGCAGCGGTAGGTGCACGCCTTGAGAACTTGTTGAATGGCTTACTGGCTTTCCAAGATGACTCTCGCGTGGCTTTCTTCGCGTCGGTATGCGGATTGGGCGAAGTGAAGACGTCAGACGCGTACGAATCGGGTCCACCAAGTTACGACGTGTTCCTGTACTACATGCACGCACTGGCGCATCTTTTCTACGGTCAGATGAAGATCTTCCAGTCAGGCAGACGTCTGGATGAAACAGCGAGTGGCAGTTGCCCCATCGATGTCCAGCACGCTGTGACTGTCACGAACACGCTGTTTACTTTCTCGTTAACAGATACAGCGCTACGTGCATTACGTGCTGAGATCGAAGGACTGCCACGCATCAAAGCCGCTGCAATAGCAGGAATGACAGATATCCAAGTTTTGGAATCAACAAGCGACGCAAGTGCTGGTAATTCGGCGGATAATATCGACGAAACGGATGATAAAACGCGATTCGTCGAGCTTGACGATGTCATGAGTATCTTTTTGAAGCAATGGACAGCCAAGACCCATCAGACGGAAGAGGTAACGTTTACATTCATCAATCGTGTTTAGAGCTATCCTAACCTTGATTTTTATAGCGTTATCGACAGGCGTTTGCAGCGAATGAGCTGGGTGGAGATCGGATCGGAATGGACGAGTTTATCAAGATCGTGACTGGAGTCACAGCTGGACGGGTATCAGCGCGTGAGTGTCGCTTAGTGTTCGGTGACGCCGGTCAGGAATTCATGAACCTGGACATGTTCATGCGCGTGACGCGTGCGTACCAGCTCCACGTCTTCGACACGCATTTACCCGAGGTTAACCTCGATGAACGCGACCGGCAGGATCTTCGTCTATCTGTTGGTAGAGCCAACATCGCATCAATTCAACGAGAAGTTGAAGACTTAGCACGATACTGGCGAAGTGTTCGCTCCGACGTGGTGCACCAACTCGAAGCTGCGCATCAGAAGAAGACGACAAAGGCGCTACTAAAGAATCAGAGTGCGTTGATAGAGAAGCTAGTGGCGAACACGCCTCCGCTGCAGCAACAACTACAGATCCAGCAGCCATATGCTAAACGTCAAGCCACGAGCTCAGCTCACACTGCAGCGTTGCAAGAGAAGCTTGATCGAGTGTGGCATGAAGTGAGAACGTGCGTGGCGATGCTGCATCGAGCTAAGCTTACTCAACACTACCTCAGTGGACTCTTCATCCGATCCAACATGCTGCGCTGGATACGGCAAGCTCGCAAGCGCGCCAAAGAAGAGGAAAAACGGCTTACATCCCGGCTATCGACACCTTTACTTCCATCGAGCTCTGGGATCTCTAAGTCGAGCTCAGTGCAAAGTATAACCTCGCAACCATAACCTATGTAGCCATCGACTTGTGTAGCCATATCCGATGCTATTGAACATGGCTACATTCTCTCTAGTCGAACGATCTTTTCCGGTGTTCGAGCGTGTCTCTTTGCATGCAAGATGCTGGAGGATGACGCTGCTACGCCGCAAGTGAAGCCAATTGAGCAAGTCCGAGGTATTCAGAGTGGCGAGTTGTTCGTTCGTTTGAATGGTGCAAAGCTTTGCGAGCCTCAAGGAACTCTGCATGGCGCCCACCCTTTCTTGTTGAAGCTGTTGCGTCTACAAGATGAGAACAATGAAGTTGTGCAGCGTCTCGTGCAGCCAAGCGAAGCGAAATTGGCGTTCACTCGCAAAATGCGACGACAGATTCGACAGCAGAGACGCACAGTGAAGGAACGTTGGGATGCTGTACGAGATGTGATCCAAGTGTATGACAACGGAAACGTGTGCGCAATTGCGAATCACCTCGCGCCAGTTGTGAATCCCGCTTCGAATGCTCTGGATCAATACCTGCAGCAGTTTCAGAAACTTGTACAAGCTTATAAGCAGCACGTGACAAGCGATATCCTTCGTCTGTACGCTGTGCTTGAGGCTGAATGTAAATACATCACGGCGTGGAATAAACGGGAGGAAGCCAAGTGCAGAGACCAACGCGTACTCACCAAGCTGCTCTTCCAATTCAAGTACGAGCCATCTCTTATTGCTTACGGTGTGTCTAACATTTGTTCGTGTACAGTTCTTTTTCGTTGCAGCTCGAGAGTGAGACGTCCGGACAGGTGCGAATGTGGAGACTGCCAGTGTCAGACCCACAACGTATGCGTTGCGTCAAAGCTGCCACGGAGAACATCAAGAAACATTTCTTCTCGTCATCAGAGCAGTTTCTGGAGGTACTGGAGGTCTACAAGATCGACAATCGAGTGCTGCTGAATAGCTTTCAAAGATTTACCAGTTCACTATCGAAGACATGCTCCGAAATCAAGATCAAGGGCTTATTTTGCAGTGTACCCGCTGAGAGCGTCGAACGCTGCATTGTATACGGTATGCACGCAGGGGAGAACGGTGAGCCTCGTTTCTTAGACCCTGATGGAGCCGAAATCAAGATATTCAGCCGATCGGTGTGAGTTCGAGATGTCACAAATGATGTTATCGACTACAAAATGCTCACCGCTTTATCTTCTACACTCTTTGCAGATTATTACAGGATCGCAAAGATGCCCCAGGGACGAATATGGCATTCCGAGCGCGCTCAAAAGTAAATAACGGCACACCATTGCAGTTTCCAAGGCGGTTTAGCAGGTACAATACACTAGAGGAAATGCGTACTACAATAACGACAACCGAGTCACGATCTGAGGACCACTTACGCGCAGTGCAGTATCTAGCACTGTGCAGGGTCGCCATGACCAAGACACTTCGAGTGAAGAGCAATTCTGTTGCAAGATTCCCCGAAGATCCAAGCGTTGGTGCTCTACACTTTACTAGCGAGGTACGTCGATGTCACTCCCACGAGCATATTCCAGCCCACTCACCCTTATCGTTGCCACAGGAGGAATACTTGGTGCGATACCCAGATGCGGTTGTACCCGAATTCATCATCCAATTTCGTATTAGAACCCCATCCGCCACACTATCAGTCGATTTTTCGGGTCAGAGTGCTATCCCGGTATCATTGGCGTCTTCAGAGCCAAGTGTAGCGTCTAACGCTTTCCAGGACTTCATATACAGCGCAGCTTTCGACAGTTCTTCCCCGGCAATCTCTGCGTTTCCGCTTGCGATGCCTCCTTCGCAACACCAACGTAGCTTCTTCAGACACGATGGCGTCCTAAGTCAGAGTTGTTCGGGCTCCCAGCAACAAGATGAAGAAGCGAAGACAGCGGATGAACAATCACAAGTACCACCAGAGATTGTATTGGCAAACTGTGCGCGACAGAAGACTCAATTGCGAGAGGATTTACAGCGTCTCGAGAGGTTCTTCTGGTCACGAGCACGTGAAATCTGGGAGGAAACAGGAATCCGCAGCGGAGTCAAGATACAGCGTGACAGTGAACTCCACACACTCGACAAAGTGCAGACACGAAACCAGCAGCTTCGTGCCGAACTCAATCGACTCAATCAATTGGAGGACGAATTGGCACGCCAAAGACCTCGATCCAGACGACGTTAGTCCTAAGGAAAATCAAAAAAACTTGTATATATATTCATTAGCCTACGCTACAAACTCGACGATGTACTGCTCCACATCGTTTGTTCCTGGGTTCTGGAACGCATGGATGTGTCGTTCACTCTCATTGACTTCGACGTATCGAAACTCACACGCCTCGAAGGAGGTCACCGGCCCGGATGGTTGCAACGTAGCGTCGAGTCCTTGGGTCTCACAGGCCGTACGGTTAAAGAACACGTACGGGTGCAAGTGCTCGTGCAGCTCACAGCTCGTGTGCGACGGCACGTGGAAATCCCACAGCTTCACGTGCTGATTCGAGAGCAACAAACGCGAGCCAACGTTGCCCGGCACGTTGCTCACCTGTACCGCACGGACTGGCACGTCCGGCTGCTTGAAGACCGTCAGAGCCACGAAGACTCCAAACTGCTGGCATTGCAGTGCATTAGTCCAGGACGCTTCAACGTCGACGCTATTGACCCAGAGACGCAACCTAGCGAGCTGGTCAGGGCTGGGCGCAGCCGCCAGTGGCAGCAGGAGACGTCCTGCTGGTCGTAACGCAGTGCCAAGTTGTCGAGCCATCTGCTGGTCCTCCAGCAACAGATCGGAGACTTTGTGGCTCTTACCAAGAGCGGACGACCCCAATAGCCACATGGCGAAGCGAGGGCCCACGAAGAGCTCGTGCGGACGCAGCAGTCCCATGGTCTCTTTTTACTATAAGATAGTCTCAAATACGTCACGGATACATAGAATTTACAACATGCAGTTATGTTAGAAGGGTAGCCATCTGTTTTGATTATTTTGTGTGTTTTTCGCTGCAAGTGATACCATGTCAAGCGCTGCGTTGCGTTTGTTGCCTATCCAGTGCCTTTGACTCACGTCAGAGGTGTGCGGGGCTGGCACGAGGCACGTGGATTGGAACGACGCGACCTTGGCCCTTGATCTCGATGAAAGCAACAGGTTGTATGTATCGGCAGCTCAATAATGACACATGTTATACTTCGAAGTAAAAGATAACGGGCCGAGTCGCGTGAGATTCAAGACCAGTACAAGCGCCCGATATCTGTCGAAGAGCCACGAGTCTTTCCAATGACGGTGTCTGGTAAACGCCCTTCGGTGACACAAAATCATTTGATGTCGTTCTAGTGCATCACTTTTGTACAATCTTGAAATGCTGCTAAAAATGAGAGGCTTTCCAAGATACAGACACAAGTTGCAAGGTATTCACTGTATTGCTGCATTCCTCATCGTCCGAGACCACAAGATGCATCTTGTCTTGCTAACGGATACATACTGCATAGTACATGCCATCACAACTCAACTACGACTGTAGAGAGCACGAAACTAACGGTGTGTATCTCTACAAACCAGACTTTCGAACATTATAAAGGAGACTGTCAAAGTTTCGTTTGCTCGCTGAACAATGAGAGCGTGACTGTAGAAACGACTTGCGCATGAACCATTACTTGCGAGCCTCGAAGCGTCTGGAACCATGGATCTAGTTTTGTAAATGACCTTTGCTTGAAGTGATCGCAGCCGACGTTAATGTAACGAGACTTTGTGGATCGAAGGGATCCACTGAGGATCAGCTGGAAACGAGACGAGTCGGCTTAGAGCACGTGTTGAAGTGAAATCTAGCGCTCAACCTCGTAAAGGATTGACAATAGTTTTCAATGGATAGACGTCGTCCGGATCGGCACGAACCGATTTGGGCAGGCGCTCTAAACAAACTTTGACCGCAATCTGAGTGGTACTCTAATGGAAGTGCCCGTATCATTGCAGACTCGCTTCAACTGAAGTGAGTCAGGTGGATTTCACCGAGATCTGCGCCGAGATGGGTGTCCGTCGCCCGAGTGCGCTCTATCCAAACTCAATCAGGTACGCAAGGGGGGGAAGATCGGGCACTATTTCTCTAGTGACCATGTATCGGTACCAAAAGGCTGGAACGTTGTGGTCTCGACAACTTCAAAACGGCAAACGGCATACATAGAGCGTGGCTATTCAAAACCTGTATGCCTTTCAGTCGCCCCATAATCCGTTGCGGCAGTACACCGGTCTATTACGCCCCCGCAATTGCCTTCACCATTTGCCGGTAGAGTTCTAGCACCTGTTCCTTCGTCCTCGGTGTCTCCCGAGGACGAGAACCTATTAATGCTGACAAATGGCTCCGCTCAACTGAAACGCAGTTGGATGCACAGGAACTTTCCGCCGTGCTTTTCAAACGTTGCGTTGCAGTGCCACGCAGCCCCAACGTTTTAACGAGTCTATTGCCAGCGAGGGATGCGGTCCAGGACCGCAGCACCCCATAAATTGCCTAACTTTGGGCATGTTTCTTCTGACTAACCTCGAAATTTACAAGTTGAATGCGAGATCGAGGTGTGGTATACTGGTAAAGTGGAGGTTTGGATGGCGGTCTTCACCGTTTAGATGCCGCTCACTTAAATGAGCCCAGATTGTAGCAAGACTGGTATTATTAAACCATGACCACAATAGCCTGTTCTCCATCGAAGGTCTCGTGAGGTTGGTCTCTCCCAACGCCAGGTGGTTCACCCCTCGCTGCAATTGCGTGCGGCAATCATGTGAACAGCTGAAGCGTCAGTTTGCAATTCTCCCCGCCGACCATCTGCCAGCGAGCGAAGAGCCAACAACAGCAGACTCGACCACCCAACTCTCTCTTCTTTCGCCCAACAGGCTCCTCACTTGAGTCCTGTACCTTCACTTCGGCCCGTCCAACGGAGCTCAGTTCCATTTCTTCTATCTTCTACTCACTTCCAAAAATGATGGCAACCAACAACAAAAGTTCCAACGCGACTTGCGGATACAAGCGCGAGGCTGAACCCGCGACCACTAACGAACACCCTGCCAAACGCCCCTACTACGGCAAGTGCCAGTACAAGACCGGCAAGTGCTTCAACGAACGCACTCTCAAGCGCAATGGTGAAGCCCACTCGCTTTGCGAAGAGCACCGCGTCAAACAGAACTTGATCCAGCGTCGCAGTGACCGCAAGTACCAGACGGTGCACGCTATTCGTCGTCGTGAGCGATCGCAGCGTCGCGCTGTGTTGAAGAAGCAGGTCTCGATGGCGGTGGCCCAGCAGCTCTTTTATGAGCACCAGCAACAGAAAACGTTGGGCGTCCCGTTGCCGCAGCACCACCCTTTGCACATGCTGGCGAATGGTACATCTGCGACTCCGAGTTCGAGTGGCATCGTGGGGTTGGCTCCTCCTATTCAGGTCCCGGCTCCAGCGTTCATGGTGGACGGTCAGAACGGTATGGGATCGCCTCTGGTATTGTCTGTTCAGCCCCAAAGCGGTCGCATCGAAGTTGTTAACAGCAAGATCGAAGCCGCGCCCGGGACCAACGACGAATCGACACCTACGGGCATTGACGATTTCACGGCGGACTCGTTCCTGACTATCCCCATGCGTTCAGGTATCCACAGCATTCCGGCGCTGAAAGATGAGGAGATTGAAGAGAACAGCAGCTTGGGCGACAGCTTCGGCTACATGCCGATCGTATCATGCTCGGACGACAAGGAAACGTGGAGCGACGATGACATCGAGTTCCTGCAGACCATTCTGCTAGCTTAGATATTTGTCTGTGCCTCCACCCTACCGAGTTTGTTCAGCTGTCGCTATAACCATTTTATAAGAGCGCCAAAGGAAGACTCTTTACCAGTATTTCACGAACCCAAAATAAAAAAGCATTGTTTTTCTACCGCCTGAAAATGAAGTCGATCATTTTACAACAAAGCAAGAGAGAGAGAGAGAGAGAGAGAGAGAGAGAGAGTTCACGCGTGCCAATGCTGACATCTTTAATTGAGATGTCAGCATTGGCACGCACAGGTCTCAAAACCATGACGGAAAATAGTATGACTTTCAGCAAAATCGTTGAGGCAGTGCGACAAATTTTGAGGGGCTGGAGTTCACGATATTTGCAATCATTTAAATATCATAGATATCATCAATTTCATTAGTAAGTGGTGTATAATTTACTCTTTTTGTTGAATAGCACCACTGATAAGCACAGAACTTTGGGCATCCCATGTTCCCGATCGTTATGGATTAATTCACACCAAATTCGACATGGTACCAAATACTTCCAGCTTTTCCAAAGCTGTACTATAGAATTTCGGTACTGGATAGAATCGCATAGATTAACTCTATTTTCGATGAATGACTATTGCACGCGTCCACTGCAGGTCTGGGTCTCGCTTGAAGGCCCTACTCTTTCGAAACAAAAAGGCATGACCAGAGCCAAATTTGTGACTCCGTTGTACAAATATGAAACTTGGGTACTCCACTGGCATGCTACTCAATTTTACTAGCCATTACTATATTAATATTATAGAATAGTATTTGCTAATAGCAGTTGATATTATTCAATATATATATGGTAGAGCATGTTCTAAGCCGGCCCTATTTTTTTTTAAAGGATCGTTAGAGGGGGCTGTATTACACCTAAGGTTCAGCTTTCATGAGAGTATTCTCGTGCTCTGGGTATTTTATTGGATTGCCTCACCACCACCAGTCATTTAGAAATCCGACGCATCTCGGACATTTACTATTATGACACAAACCCTTGAAATTCTGCTTAAAATTTGCTAACATTTCTTAACCCCTAATTCACCGAGTGGATATGATAATAATCCAAAGCCCGGTGGTTGTAGGAGTACGAACACTTAGATTTTGTATGTTTTCGAATAAATACAAAACGATAGGGGGGGGGGGGGGTATGTGCGTTATGGGTCGTTTTGATATCGAACCTCCTACATCTATATGACATGTAGTATATTCTGTTTTCAAATCTTTTAGTTTTGTAGGAGGAGCCGATATCCGAACTAAATACTTAGAACGAATTGAGGAGCTCATTTCTTCGTCTTCTCAATATTTGCATGCCAAGATCTGTACACTGTGTACATCGCGGGGTCCGGATGTCACCGCCAGGGTACACACCGGCAAACTTTTTATTTATTTATTTGGAGCAGTACGACTATACATACAAAATCCAACTGCCGCACGATATTGCAATAAACAGGATTCACTACAAATTGCTAATCTCTCAGTCAGCACGTTGCAGATCTCATATCGTATGAGCGGGCCAGTCAGTGAAGGGCATTCACTGAAGCAGCCACAAACAAGTGGGTTTCAGTTACTTTGCTTTTCCCACGGAAGTCGCCACGTCACATACTGTTGACAAAGAAGTTTATTTAGAAAGATAGCTTGGTGGCTACTTGCCACTGACTACTGGGTAGAGCGCAACGTCTTAAGTTTGGCAGTAACAGAAGCCGTTACAGAAGTGGTTTTGTGTAGTAAGAAGCTCGTCGCGAAACGTGCTAAGACTAAATAGAAGGCTTATTTAGTTTTCAACATTTCATGCATTCACAAATACTATGCTAAGTAGACTATCGTCCCGTCGTCGCCGCCAACGGTCTCGCCTGCTGCATCCACAGACCGATTATCGTCAGATGCATCAACCTCAAGGCCAGTATGCAAGCCCGAGGCTAACAGCAACGGCCTACAGGCTCCAAACGATCCAGTATCGCCCAGTGATCACGATAGAAGCCAAAAGGCTCACTTGCGTACGCGTCTTGGTCGGGGAATCAGGGACCTGACCCAAAATGATATAGATTCGCTAACGAGCATGATTTCAGGCAAGTACAGGAGAGCCATTGCCAAAATTATTTTGATGTGTGTAGTTCAACCAACCATGACTCAAATGCGAAGCCGCACATCGGACCACCAGCGTGACCATCACTACTAGATAATGAACGGCCTGGACGCGGCAGGTGTGAATCCGTGCAAAGAAACAGCGACTCGAGCCTGAACGCCAATCGCGACGGTTTCACGATCACCATGACCAATTTGAACATGAGAAGCAAGCGAGCCAATGTGCCGTAAGCGATGGTGACTATATGTGACAGCAATGAGGGGTACACTGTTCCAACAGCTGCGCGCGATTTGAACACAGGTGACATGCCGTAGACGTACCGGTCAGTCAAGCCACCAGACCAAAAAACCCGAGCTCAGGTGAGGAACGGGTAAGTGGCGCCGACTTCAGTGCCTGATCGCAGCGTGAACATGGAAATCGTATCGCAGTAGTACTTGTCGCCAATCGGTTAGACCCGCCGGTACAACGCACACGTTGTCAAATCTGGAACGGGTACGCCGAGTCGACAGCAACGCCAGCAAGCAACGTGAAGGTTGCAGCCATGGCGCAGACGTACGGAAACCTGTCGCTGCTCTGCCAGTAGGACGAACCCAATCTCAAGTCGGGGGCCCCATTGTCGCAGTCTTTCCCAGGCTCCGGGGTCGTGAGTACTTCAGCAGTGGTAGATAGCAATCAAGTAAGTGAAAAAAAAGATAATATTTGTAGCTTGTTTGTTGTTTTTGTCTTCTGTCCTCGTCTTGAAAGTTCACGACTGGGCACATACCTTGCGCTGCAAGGCAGCAATCCTGTCGGAACGCCTTCCTTCCGTTCCTTCCACATCCTTGCCGATCTTAGCGACCATCCTCTCTCTCACTCTGGTCCAGCGAAGCACTGGAGTCATCCGTGTCCTCCGTCCCCGCCATCACAAAGCGCCTTAGCGCCTCTTCACCTCGCGCCATCTCTCAGTGTGATTACTGCTCCGATATTCTCCCCGTCCTACTTGATATATGTACCCACTTCATATTAGCCACTCCGGTCGACATCCTGTCCTAGCGCGACCCGTGACGCGAAGGGCCACGTTGACGGTAGCACCAGTACGCAATCTCAACATGGTAGCTGTGGCGCAGAAGTACGAGATGCGCAACCAGTCGCCGAATCTTCCAGACCAACACGCTATTGGTTCAGGAAAGCGTGACCCTCGTTGACGACGGTGCAAGAATTTAACGGAGACCCTACCACCAATCTTAGCAGCACTGTGTGGCCTCCACACATCACCACCAGCGCGCACAGCGGGTAAACCTCATGCCTTGCCCTAGCGTCGACTTGGGCAAACATTCTACTACCTCCATTGGGAAATAAACGACCAAATCAAAACTGTCGACTAAACAACAATCTTTATATCCTCTTGAAACCGATTCCTATTAAATCAGATAGGTACCACCCGTGTCGAGATTTAGAGGTGCGATATGGGCAAGTTTGACTTTCGCGCTCATTTCTAAATCCAAGCCCCTTTCACTACCTCGCCCCCACGACGAAGCAAGCCACCGAAGAATAGCGACAGGCGTTGTGAGAGATGCTGATTCTGTACAGCAATCGCGGAAAGCTAGACCACGGAGATATCACTTGGATTGCAAACCAGTTTCACTGCGGTCGCAAGGTTGTCTCGCGCACCTGGCACCAAAGACTTCGCTGAATGAGGCCACGCAAAGCTACCGTGGTGAAATTCACTCGGGGGAGAAAGCGAGACGATCGCCATGCGCTGTGCCGACGCGTTGCTGGAGCTCCGACAGCCGACCGCAAGAATCAGTAGACACTTCAGCTCGCGACTAACACAAGCTGCTATCTGATCCAGCATCTCATCAAAGAAGGGTACCTGCGCCGTGCGCCGAAACGAACGAAACCGTTGCTTACTGTCAAGCATAAGGAAGCTCGCATGGAGTTCTGTGCGGAGCATGTCAGACAAGCCGCAGATGGAAGCCATTTGATCGACCCCCTGCTCGACGTCGTTCATATCGGCGAGAAATGGTTTGACATCAAGAAGGTCGGACAGAATGTGTCTAGCCTGACCGGCAAGGACGATGTCCTGACTGCAGAATCGCCGGTATATTACGCACAGAGCAAGCGTCATTTGATTAAAGTGATGTTCTTGAGCGCTGTCGCCTGTCCAGTAGGAGATTAGGATGGTAAGGTCGGCATGTGGCCTATCGTAGTGGCGTACTTGACCCAGCGCGCCAGAGTGAACCGTCCTGTAGGAGTAGTGGAGAGAAAGCCTGTCTTGATGACGCCTGAGCTCTCGCGGAAAATGCTGGTGAAGGACGTTATACCAGCAATCAAGGCCAAATGGCCACACGCCCAAATGCTACAGCCTATCAAAATCGAACAAGACAATGCCCGTCCCCGACGTCGATGTAAATGATCCAGTGGTGGTCGCTGCTGGAACGAGCGGCGGCTGGAACATTCGCCTCGCCAACCAGTCGGCTCACAGCCCAGAGCTCAAAGCGTTGGACGTCGGCTTTTTTTTAACAACTTTCAATCTTGGCAGTCTCAAACAACACCTCGGAACGCCGAGCAGCTGATTGATGAAGTGCGCCTGGCATTTGAAACCACCGCAGTGGATACGCTTCAGATGACTTTTGGAACGCTCTAGCTAATGATGAAGAACATTATGCTTTGCCGGGGTGGCAATGACTTCCGGCTCACCCACTTCAAGAAGGATCGTTTACTATGAGAGGGCAGATTACCTCTGTCCATTCCGTGCAAGTCGCAGCCGTACTACGACACGCTTGCAGTATTTGCGCCACCATAAGCAGTGCATATTCCATCGGACTTAGACTACCTATCATGATCTGTCCTGTGATACTTACCTCTCCACACTTTATAGGCGATAAAAAACGAGGAGGAGATATGCGCAATTTTTTTTTCATTCGGTCGTTTATTTCCGAATGGAGGTAGTATTTATTTTACACAGCACGTATGTCTTGGCTTCACGTTGCGGGGCGTCTTGAATCGGGGTCTGTGCAACTCTGGCCATCTGCCTTCCGCATTCGACGCGTCTTCTACACTGTCCGGCTTAGTGTGGTGATGGTCATCGTACTCGTAACCATGTTTATAATCTTAACCTCGTTTAACTTTTAATCAACTAAGTTATGTTCTTGTGTCTTGCTTCATTATGAGCCCCCCCCCCCCTATATGGCCACCATTTGCGAGCCCACTGATCCTGCCCAGTTCGTTGGGCAGATCGTACTGCGAATGTGCCTCCTGACACGATGTAAATTGCAATTTTCCGCAGGCCAACCTATCTCAGGCTATGGCGCTCATTGATTGGCCAAGTCTGGAGAAACTATGCTTTACATGATTCGCGAGTGATGATATTGCCGCCTACACGTTGAAGGGCGTCCAACGGTTGACCAAGATCCAAGTTCCAAAGAGACTGCAAGACCCCATAATGGAGTGAAGTCAAGTCCGACCTGATACTCGTCTAAGAGCCGAAGTCTGCCGTCCAGGCGGAGGACATCCGAGAGCTGACCAACACTCGCGAACTGTGCCTATCCAGACACCCGACCAATTATACTGAGATCAAGTGATTAGTGAACGGCCAAGCTGACAGGCAATGATGTGTTATACCCGACCAAGTACCTTGATGACGGCCAATCTATGTGTACGCTGCGACCGATGACTACAGAACTCACACCATACTCAAGTCAAAATATATCAGGCGTGTGATCATCAGATCCACAGAGTGATAGCCTAAGAAAGTGATACCTCAGAGGAAAGAGATAACTATAAACAGAACCCCCTATATTTTTTTTTACCAAATGGTTCAAGTGCCAAGTTGCGTGCAGCGCCTACTAAGGAAGAAATCGCCTGTGGTCGAAGAGGAGCTTCTGAACATGCCTGCCGAGACGAAGCGTACTACCGCCGGAGGCCAGGAGACTCGGAAGAGGACATCCAGACGTGCCGTAACCACGACAACGCGGCGCAGGGGTTCCCGTCTAGTTAAAGTTCAAGTTAGGCGATAACTCAGCGGCGTGCACTGGAGATGAACCGTACTATTTCATATCCCAGTTGGAGTACACTCTTAGAGATATTAATTTATTATTCTTGCGGTATTTTGGAGGTTTGTTGGTAGTCAGCCCCTAATGATTGATAGATAGATTACCATGTGAACAGATATATTCTGTAACGATATGTTTCCTCCTATTGGAAGTGGTGCGCGATTGAGGACGTGTGTGATTGGAGGCTGGCCAGTGCCTTAAGTGAGAACCCAGTAGAATGGTCTGTGCGACCCACCACTCGAGGTCCCTAAACAATAAGTAGCGGTTACGCGTTTGTGTTGTATTCTGTATTGTTATATGTTATCTCTGGGAGAGGACCTTACTCTGTGAATCTACATCATTCTACCCCAGTCGTACGAGCGTTATTCGGGGGATATGTACTCCATATTTTGTCTGTCATTTATATTAGAAACTCACCACATGGAGCAACGGTCTGATGAAGGTAAAAAGATCCCACTGATGTACACAAGATACGCTCGCCACTTCGGGCGGGGAAACTCGTTTGGAGGTACTCGACTGTATTCCTTATTGAGGCCTTTTCCTCAGGGAGTAATTAACCGTTCGTACTCCCTGCAAAGAAAGCAGCACCCACGGGTAGCGAACTCTATACACCCAAGCACAAGGAAATCACCGATTCTGCCTTGCGTCACTCCTGTGGGTGCCCTGGGTGTCCTAGATCGCTACAATTTCAACACTATGCTGGCCAACAGTACTCGACCTGAGGCCTGTACCGGAACGTCGCCGTCCCTACGTCTTATAACAACGTCAAACTCTGCTTAGGTAGCCTATCGCCAACTAATAGTGAAGCTTCCGGCCTCCTATTCCTTCACTCGTTTGTTTTCTTTATTTTGGCTCACAAGCCGTTCTCCGGTACCTCCGCCCTTCAGAGGCCGGGTATTTGACCTTCGTTTGTCGCGTGCAAGCTATTCTCCGGTGCCTCTGCCCTTCAGAAATCAGGTGCCGCTCTTCGTTCAATCTCTGGTCTCAAGTACCACTGCTCTCCGAGTCTAGGTACCCGTTACCCGTTCAATTTATACTGCAAGTTCTGCTTGCCCAACTTCCGTCGATTCGTTAACAATCACTCCCGCTCGGTACGACAAGCTCCTCACTTACGCTCCATCCGTCCAATTCAAGAGTGGCTTTCTCTCACTCCATTGGTTGCTGGCCTTCGCGATCGACGACTCCATGTTCTTCCGTTGCGTACGATCTTGCGCGATAATCACACATTCTCCGTCTTAGTTGTGTGCAACTTTGTCCTAGCCGTGCACCCACTGATCGTCCGGCTGGAAGATCTCGTCAGCAACCGTCACGCCACATCGTGCCACAATAACTCATTACAGTATTGTCCAGGACACCACGTTCCCAGCACCCCAACTGTTCGATCGCGTTTACAATCGAAGCGTACCTGCATCGTCTACAGTGATCTGCAATAGAACCTATAACCACTATAGCATTCTGAATGCTGACTTATGGCTACAGGTCGGTCTGCTAAAGCGATTGCAGTATTTATAACTATAGTGCATCGGAAGAAGTATTATCGGATGCGACTGGAAGTGTTAAGCAAATATTGCGCTTGAAGCATTCCCGCTTAATAAATGTTAGCAAAAGAACGATAATTTCTTTAAAGGCGGCTGTTGGAGGCCAGGATTATCGCCATGTATTTATACATGTATTTAATCAAGTTATTCATGGATGCTGTAATCTAACTTAAGTAAGTATCCATATGGGGAAGATACGGAAAGATTCGATGAGGACGAAGAAGAAACTTAACGTGTGGCTATCCGTTATCCAGGATCTAATCATGGGTATCCAGGAATTAATCCTGGATTGATTATTTATGTATTTTGCCATGATTTAATCCTGGTCAAGTAACTTGTAGCTTTAGATTGTGTCCGAGCACTGCATTAGGTCTTGCCGTTCAATGGTCAGGAGCGACAACGGTGCAGACAGAACTGGAGAAATGCTGTCTACAGGAGAAAGTCAGTGTCCGCTGTATTGTGCTGCTTAGGAAGATGTAACATGTATGCAATGCCGTAAAAGCTTCGTGCACTTACAAACCAGCTTACTCGATGATCTACTGCGCGATCTGCGTCATTGCAATGTCCTCGTCGCTGCTTTGTTTGTCGGCATGACTTGGGGCCTTCATCAAGTAGCAGAATAGCTCTGTGCGTCGTCTCGTTAGTCCATGTCCATGCGCAGTCTAGGAACGACCTTACGCATGAACATCCGGTACACGTACACTCCGCAGCTTAAGCCATCAAACTGGAGAGGGTTGGTTTACGGGATTACTTCAAATTCGTGTAACGCGGTGATCTTCAGACTCGTAGCGACACCATTCACAGCGTTCATGTATGCAGCGTGATTTAGAAGAGCATAGTAATAGATCCTCTTCTCCTTGACCTTGATAACTATGCAGCACCAGTGGAAATCGTTGAAGTTGAGTGGCAGCATCACCGTTTCTATAGCGTCGTCTCCGACATGTTGTCGAATATCAGCTCGGATCGCTTCATCCACTGGATAGACTTCGTTGTTTCGCGTTCGCTACGATGTCGGAGACGCTTACTGAAAGCCTGCAAACCGACAGGGGGGATATTCTTGGCATTAACGACAGCACAACGCACGTATGGCTGCGTCCGAAAGCCACGCGGGCGGGCTAGCACTGTAGACCACGGCGTGTCCAAAATCAGGGAGGTATGGAAGGCTGGGAACCCGCTTGTAGGGGTAAGTAGCCATTACTTCGGTCACCACTTGGTTCAGAAAACCGTGCTGTTTAGCAATACTGTAGGAATAGCATTTTCTACTAACCACTTGTGCATATCGATGCCGTTCTGTACGACGGCCTTCAAATTCTGGATGCGATCTCGATCTGAGCCCTCGAAAAAGATCCTACGTCTTTGATTACTATTGTCTCCACATCACCTCTAGCCGAATTTGTTTGTGGGTTGGTTCCTTGACTTGAGGCTTGTGAATTATCAATTGAAATGGCCGTGTCCGAGGTGTTCGCCACTGGCAACACCTTGATACAGGCATCCAGTAGGTTGGTGGGTAGAATGAAAAACGGGTCCAGGATTAATACTGGATTCTTCACGATTTTAAACTTCGGCTTCTTTTTCTCCGTATTTCCAGGCTTCATGAGGACGCCTGACAAGCGGCGTTGTGTTTCAACAAGGCCAGGCTGCTCCCGCTCAAGTGAGGAAAGTAATGTCTCCAAGGCCACCTCTCCAGCGGTTTCACGACTCTTTTCAGCAGCTTCATACCTTTGTCGATCCTTTTTTTTTCTCCGGCAGTCGTGTCTTTCCTCTGTGTGGTCTCCCCATTTTTTTTTGCTTTTGGGTTCAGACGGGTCTTTACGCCTTTATCTTGAAGTCCTTGATCTAATGTATCACCTCCATCTCCGTCGTCTTCGCTAGAGCTGATACCGAATTCAGATTTTACTTGGGCCTCCGTGAAGGCGCCTGTAGAATGTCCAGGGCCATTGACTACAGTCCAGCGGGCGTCTGTACGACTACCTTCTGGAGGGATGGAAACGGCGATTCCCTTCCTTTGACGTACGTTCCGCCACTGGTTCATGACAAAGTTGAGCATGGCTTCAAACCCTGCTTCGTCCTCAATCTCCGCCATTTAATTGGCGATAAGGTGAGTCGCCCGCACAGCCTCTCTGTAGCGCTCGGTGTGTGTTCTCAACTTTTTAATTGAAGAACCTTGCTCAGCATCCGAAAATTTTTCATACGAAACTGTTTGACCTTTTTTCAGAACTTGAGAAGTAGAAGTCCATCTACATATCAAGTAATACGTTAGTGTATCTTTACTCCATAAATAAATCCAGGATAATCCTGGATCAACCAATAAATCCTGGATCAACCAAATAAATCCAGGATAAAATCCAATATCTAGAGGAGTCCTGGATAAAATCATAGATAAGTTTGGAAAAATTTTGGATAATCCTGAATATGAATCAGTGTTGAATCCAGGACAAAATTCCTGGAGCAAAATCCTGGATAGTATCCTATACATGTGAAACTCACCGTTCGTCAATCCCTCCCCCAGAGAATGCGAGGACCAGGACCTTGGTGTGCTTTCGGTATGCAATCGCATGTCGGAACGGTAACTTCATCGACATCGAAAACTCACAGTCACATCTCCAGGAATCCACGTTTAACTTGTATTCCGAGAACACTCCATTCACAAGAACCACACCGAATCCTTCAGGTTCGTTCACGTAATTGTACGAAGACGCCTTAGCAAGCCCTGAAGCGTATTGTTGCTCGATGTGCTGAGCCACGTAGTGAGTCGTGAGCTGGAGAATCATCCCCATCTCATCGTCGTAGTTGGTGTTCATGAAACGCTCAATACGAGAAAGTCGATACTGATACGCGTTCTCAACACAGCAATCGTAGGCAAACAACGCTTTTACACACATGGCCTTACTCATGCTTCCGTACAAAGCTTCTTTGAAAACTCTCTAATCGATTGTTCGTATGATTCTTGAAGTGAGGCAATTTAGATCGTAGATAATACAACCAACGGTCTTGACAGGAGTCCCAGTTCTTCAAGAAGTACTCGAAAAATCCTTGAAGCCCAACGCGCTCACAGATCCCTTCAAAGAGGCAAGGCCCGACTTATACTGATCATCCCCTAAGCATAGACCATATTATGAACAGCTGCATCTAACTGGCTAGCGTCCTCGCTAGTAATCTTCCCTAATTCAGGTCTGGATCTCATTTCCTTAAGGTACTTGATCACATGAAAATGGCAAATGAGAATCCTCGTGTCGGGGAAGTTCGTCTCAAGAACGCGAATCTCGTTCAGGTCCTTGTCTACGACAATCACCCGCAGAAGATGAATTCGTGTAGGGTGTGAACGTTTAAAGTGATCAATGACTCGATCCATGTGCCAATCTCCGTTTGCTTCAATAAGAGACTGCTGGACGACCGCACATTCACCGAATTCGTTCTTTGCCATGAACGTGATAAGCTGGTAGTTGTACCTACAAACAATCAGCAAAATCGTGGTTGTTACAGGATTACTCATGGATCATACATGAATATTTATGGATAGTGTCCAAAAGCGTACCTGTTGGTCTTGTGGCCGCAGTCTACCAGAAGAACCTCGCTGAATCGTCCAACGTTCCGCCTCATGTGAGCTGAGGCAAGCAAAATCACTCCAGTTTAGCCAGCTTCGGTTTTTGACGCTGAAGAAATGTTTTCTGGATCCAAGGCGAAGAAAGCAGCGATTTCACGAGCGGTGGCGTCGTTATAGTTCATTGTTGACACGGCGGAGCTGTGGCCACGAACAAAGTTGTCGACATCAACCTGAATGACGTTCTGATCATGCTCGAGAAGGTAGTCGTAGATTTTCGATCGCTTTGCACCAACAGACAGCATTCCATCTACTCTAGCACTAACCAGAGCGTTTGTAATGCCTCCCGTCGCAGTGTAGGTAGCGTAGGCAACCCGATATATCTGGTGATTGTGAGAAAAACAACTGTTCTTCACCTGCAACTCACACCTCGCCAAATTCCACTGCACAACAAACCTGAGGGGGCAGTGCGTTTAACGAAGATGCTGCTTGGGACGGCTACCTTCGCTGCGTGGCTTGCACTTCTTCCAATCATGAGTACAGATGTAACTCCGCTGGTAGGGATCGAAGTCTTCAGGAACTAAAACCGAATCGTCTTCTCCCTTTTTCGTCTTCTTTAACCACTTGTTTTGCTCCGCTCGTGACATAGTTTCCTTGACAGGCAACACCTGCATTTTTTTCTCGGCAATATTCGACAAAATACGAGTGCCAAGCGTCCCAACTTGAGTGATATTTGACTGGTGGCTCCACTGCTACAGTTGTCGTGCCACCATTACTGCTATTGCCATCCTCTACCTCTGCACCATCTGCTTCTGCTCCACACACGTCTTTTACATCATCGTTCCGCCCCTCCTCTACGTCAGAACTGTCACCGTCAGCATCGCCTGATCGAACGCAACGAATTCCTCCGGCAAAGCTATCTTCTTCGCCACCCGTCGAGCTCGTAACTTCAGATCCAACCACCGGCTGCATGTCCGAGAGCCCTGATCCTCTGTGCCGTGGAGATGGGGCTTGGTCCTGCACACTCGCGGCGTCTGCATCTTCCTCGACGTCGTTCCGCGGCATCTTATCGGACGGCGGCAGAAACGGAAATGAGATCGCCGAATTTATAAACCTCGGAAATAGCCGAGTTGGTAATGATTTTTTTTTTCATGAATTTTATTTTTCAATCCTGTACAAATACAGGATTGAATCCTGTATAAATACATGTCAATAATCCTGGCCTCCAACGGTTCCGTTCTTTAAAATACTACTGCTGTTCAAATTCCAGAGCTTCTCCGTCCGAGGCGCGACTATATGTGTTCGTGTTTTGTTTTCTTGTAATTACCCGATTCTATGTACAAGCGTAGACTTGATCAGCTTTTCCTTTCCAACTGCAAACACACTGGCAAGTGATTGCGGAAGTTCCCCTCCGCTGGGTCGTTTTTTGTCTCTTGATTTTCACTCGTTTTAGACGAGAATTCAAAGTTGCTATCTGTAGTCGTGTCTGAGGTCGAGATTTGCCAACAGATCCAAACGCTACTATTAACAACTCCGAGTGATATCGAACGTTCCGACACCGGACAAGGTTGAAGCAATCAGCTTTGATATCATCGGATCCACTAATGCAGCTGTTGCATCACAATACGACATTATATGGGCAAGCAGAGCCGAACACTACTCTACATACAATAACTGGACCGCTCAAAGCTATAAATTAAAGCAACTTCGAATCGAGATAAACGCGCGTAGATATTAATCCAGTTGTTGCGTACATGTTACATGTATCAGCCGGGGACTACGAAACTATAATACACGTATCGTAGAAGCAAACTCACAAAAGGCAGACCAGGACCAAGAAATATACACTCTTTACTCTATCTAGTGCTTTGAAAATAGTTCTTTTTTACAGACGAGGTTAGTCGACACAGTTGGCTGAATCTGCTATACTGTGATTTGACGGGTGAAGAACAATAAAAAAGTGCTTTATCAGAATCTGTGAGTTCTCGGCGCAACAGTTCGTACTGCATTTGGGTCACTACTAGTTTACACCCACGGTGTATCGCGTTAATTTAGCCCTAAGAAGTAAAAATCGATCAAAATCGAACTGTTCAATGTACTTGTCCTCAAAATATTAAGGGGCTAATTACGAAAAATCGTGCAACCAGAAAATGTAACAATACGATGATATTGTCGTGTCGAAGCACCGAGCGGTCCAAGAGATTTGAGCACATCTTGTGCCCGTAATACGCGTTTACAAATCCACGATGCAATAGTATCCTTGTGGCTTCCAGCTGTGTGAGCAATGGCCATGGTATTGGCTGCCGACCTAATGAGTGTCCGTCCACCAGGGAAGTAGAGCCGTCTAAGCTGTTTGCGGCGGATAGCAACTTGCTATTGCTGCTATTTTAATTAAACGAGGTACTGGTATCCAACCCGATGCCTGCGGCTACATGTAGACGAGTTTACCAGACTTCAACGTATAACTTGAAATCCCTCGCAAAGGTGGAGATTTCCGACCTGTAGACATAATATGTACGAAGTAGGAGTCGGATGCCAAGACTCTAAGTTATTGGTACACAAAACTAAGGACTTCTGGACCACCACAACAATAAGAGTACTCTATATATGCACCAAATTGGATAGCCCCCGAGCGAGTTTTGCCCGCAATCAGGTCGTGAGGAGGCCCGTGCATTATCAATACTTGTAAGAGGGAAACGGGGCTCCAGTCCGTCACCAGCTACTGTACATTATGACAGGCAATCTTGGCGACCACTTCGAATTCGAGAATGCATAAATCCTGCACAAGGGCTCGGAAAAAAATAAATAAAATTGTACTGGGATTCCAGTCTAAAGTAATCCACTGTCCATGTTCCGTTTAACCAATAATAATAGCAATCTTACTTTTGCCTACCGCTTCAAAGATTTCAGACGGGTTGATACTGTAAAACGACCTTTTGCTGTAACTTATCCACTCTTGTGATGAAATCCGCAGCAAGTTTGGGATCCTAGATTTGTCCTTTCCCCAGTTCAAAGAATAAAGCTGGAAGAGGGGTCGACCAGATTCCAAGTCAAATAGCTTGGAATCATAGGAAAAGGACTCCAGTCTAGGATTCTAAAGGCCTCAAGTGGCTGCGGGAACCGCTCCATTATGCGCATTTCATTCCAGAAATGTGGTACATGTAAAAGTCCAGTTTATTTTTTTCTGGTGCAATATCGTATTTTACGGAGAGCGGCGAATTTTAATAGTCCGTTATTCGTCAAAACAACTCTTGAATTATTTACTCCTATTTTCTTTTCGGAGCGCTATACACTAGTATTTTTTTATTAGTGTTTTCAACAAACGCATCGGGGCGGACTTTAAACATCCCCGCAATGCAGTATAACCTCAATATCTCGGCATTAACTAACCCTCGAGATGAGTTGGCAAGGACCAGGTCGTATCGACAGGTGTCGCCTGTGGTCGCTTAACGCCATGTGGCCCAGATCGCTGTTCTTGCTTGCAATAGCTGTTTCGCGTCAATGACAACTCTCCGCGTGAGCGAAGGGCCAACAGACAAGAGCCACCACAGATCTTTGGTGCGTGGTTCCCCACCAAGTCTCGTCGGCCCCATCAACAGAGCTCAGTTCCATTTCCTCTTCCTTCGATTCACTTCTGAAAACAATGGCAGCTACCTACACCTCCGTGGACTTGGCCCAGCACACCCAGCTCCCCGGAAGCTTGAGTGGGTTTAAGCGCGAGGATGAACCCGTGACTCCTATCCATAACGACCGCCACACCAAGCGCCCCTACTACGGCAAGTGCCAGTACAAGACCGGCAAGTGCTTCAACGAACGCACTCTCAAGCGCAACGGTGAACCGCACTCGCTGTGCGAGGAGCACCGCATCAAGCAGAACTTGATCCAGCGCCGCAGCGACCGCAAGTACCAGACGGTGCACGCCATTCGCCGTCGCGAACGATCTCAGCGTCGGAAAAAGCAAGTTTCTACGACAATGGCCCAGCAGCTCTTTTATGAGCACCATCAGCAGAAGGCGCTGAGTACCCCGGTGCCTCAACATCACCCTATTAATTTGCCGACAGTCAACGAGAATTGCGCTACTGCGACTCCGAATGTGTGTGAAATCGTGGGCCTGGTCCAAACCATTCAAGTCCCGCAGCCACCTTCAGCTTTTGAGCTTAACGATTACTTTGGCGTGAGCTCTCAACTAATGACGTTGTACCAGCCACATGGTGATTGCGTGGAAATGACGGGAGCAACCTGGGGTTCTATGCTGGATGAATCTAGCCCCACCAGTGTTGATAATGCCACGCTGATCTCGCCCCTGGACATTCCTTCTTGCCCAGACTTCCCTTTCATGCCCATAGCGCCGTGGTCGGGTAAAGAGCAGGCCTGGAGCAATGACGACATCGAATTTCTGTGGGCACTTCTGCTGGCCTAAAGAACAGCGACATCCTATTAAGTTGTTCAACTGTCACTACAAGAGTTTATGAGAGCATCCATTAATAATCAACAGTTTTACCTTCCATAGTTAACTAAACTTCACTATAATGACAAATGTTTGAGTGGTACTTGCGCCGCGTATCGTTTGAAGGGTCGAAGTGTTCCTTAACCTACCAGTATCGTCTGAGGTGATTATGGGAAATTGAGAGCAGAGGCCTGCCGAATAACAAGCCATTCATGCAAAAAGCCTAGCATCTTAATAAAGACGGGGCAATATTTACGATCGATGTTTAGTTTTCACGATTTAAAAATATTTTTATAAACATTTTTTTTTAACGCATGACTGCAACTTATGTTTGGCAGCTGCATTTTTTCTGTACGCACCACACCATGAATGTCAGTAGACGGCATTCAGTGGCGGTGAAACCTTCCATGACTGTAGAGCGGTCCTCCTAGAACGGCTATCCATAAAACTTGTCTGCACTGAAAGTTGCAATCTGTCGGAGAGGGTAGCTATATACGAGCGGTCCACCGTGCGAAGAAGGCACGCTTACTTCTTGAGCAGTAGCTTTCATGATTCACGCTCGTACGCGTTGTAGATATATGTGAGCCAAGTCGGTGCGTAAATAAGACGACCAGATATTCGCAAGCGGGAGTGTGGGGGTGTGGAACGCGCTATCACTACTTATATGGGCAACCTCGTAAAGGAACAAATGAGTGTCGTCGGATAGACACCAGTGCGCACCGATTTCTCTATGTAGAATCTGACCGTAATCGAATCTTCAATTGGTGTACCCCGTCGGAACGTAAATGGAGGGACAGATGCTCACTGAGATTGTGGTGCCAAGTGCGTTTTTAGTTGCCCTGTCCGTTAGACCTACCTCTAAGCCTTATCCTTATCCGGTGCGAGGAAGGGGGATGCTATTAATCAGCATGCACTTTTGTAATTGAAGTCAGATAGGGACAGTATGTTCCTGTCTGGAGAAAGATCGAGGGTGATAGTGTAGGGTAGAGTCAATTTAAAAAAAAAATTGCAAACAAAAAATAATGCTGGGCTGTCGTTAACTGTTGATTCGGAATATCACAAATGTCGAATAGGTGCAATTTTTAAGTGTAAATTTTGAAGTATATATTGAGGATTTGTTAAAGATAAATACCGTGCGTAGTTAAATGTGTTGTGAACTAAAACTGCTTACCATAAAAACACTATAACGACGTGAGTTTTTCTAAGCGCATTTCTTCTGCATCCTAACTTCAGCCTTGTTTATTTTTGTCGAGTTCCAGGATTCCATCGAAAACTTATCAAGATGAAATTTGAAAAGATGTGCTTTAGAAGGTTTGCCCGATCCCCACGTTATTTTTGTACTACCGACCTTTAGGAGCTTTGCCCGATCCCCACGATATTTTTTGTATATAACGTGGGCGAATGGGGGTGTTATTATTGTGTATGACCATAATAGCTTGCTCCTTTCCTTTAAATTGAAGTCTTCGTGGCCGTCATACCAGGTGGTCCATGCTCGCTGCACCTGGGTATGGCAATCATGTGAACACCAGTTTGCAATTCTCCGTTCGAAGCGAGTGAAGAGACGACACAGCCACACCTCCGACTTGTCGCTCACAGGTCCACCACGCCGAGGTGTGCACCTTCACGTTGCCCACTTCAACAGATCCCAGTTCCATTCCCTCTCGCTTCGACTCACTTCTCAAAATGGTGGCAACCAATAACCACAGCAAGGATATCAACGCCTCCTCCACGCCGGCCCAGCACAGCAAGCCTCATCGAAGCTTAAAGCGCGAGGCTGAGTCCGTGAGTGCGGTAACTAACATCGATGAACCTCCATCCAAACGCCCCTACTACGGCAAGTGCCAGTACAAGACCGGCAAGTGCTTCAACGAACGCACTCTCAAGCGCAACGGCGAAGCTCATTCGCTATGCGAGGAGCACCGCGTCAAGCAGAACTTGATCCAGCGCCGCAGCGACCGCAAGTATCAAACGGTGCACGCCATTCGTCGTCGTGAACGATCGCAGCGTCGCGCTGTGCTGAAGAAGCAGGTCTCGATGGCGGTGGCCCAGCAGCTCTTTTATGAGCATCAACAGCAGAAGACACTGGGCATCCCGTTGCCGCAACATCATCCGTTGCATTTGTTGACGGCCAACACGACTGGTAGTCCTACTACGGCCCCGGGTACGACTGGCCTTGCCGCCCCAATTCAAGTCCCGCATCCTGCTTCCGCTTTTATGCTGGACGGTCAACGCAACATCGGTGCACCGCTGATGTTATCGTTCCGCCCCCACCCTGGGCGTGCCACGGTTGCTCACAGCAGGATGGTGGGTCCATCGGGACCACCGGCAACGGCAGTCAAGGATGAATCAACCCCTACGGGCATTGACAACTTCGCGCCGGACTCATTTCTAAACATTCCTGCGCCTCCGGGTCACAGCTTGCCAGCTTCAAGAGATCAGGAGACTGCGGGGAGCAACGGCTTGAGTGACAACCATGGCTACGTGCCTATTATGTCGCGCACAGACAACAAGGAGACGTGGAGCGACGACGACATCGAGTTCCTGCAGACCGTTCTGTTGGCCTAAACGACTTTGCCTAATTTATAAGAGCCCAAGGATTCTCCATATTTTGTTAGCAAAATACAAGCACGAATTTACCAAGTCAGATAATGTGTTCAGTAGTCACTATCATGGAGGTACACTAGACAAAAGCAAAATCTCGAGCCTGTATGAGTAGCACCGCTCTCATGGATTTTTAGGAGGTCTACTGCTTTGTGTCCTACGACTCACAGGCCACCTAAGCACCACAGAACACCCCGTTGGCAACAAGTTGTTACGAACAACGCACTGGAGACGTCCTACACTATAAACGCGTAATGGCGAAAGTGGATTTTGAGAGTGCCACTACTTGACTTCATTGAATGGCTCATATCGAATACGACTTCCAAATGTCATAATACCAGGTCTTACGCCCCTGGAAACACGAGTTCGCAGCCATGTGATCGAATTCGAACAGGGCACTTACACTCAATGCGGTTCGAAGACAAAATATCAAGACAGACTCCACTTCGCCATCGTTGCGACGAATCGTATTACTAGACACTGCGCCAGATTTTTCTTCGAGTCAGGTTCTGCCACGAGCGGGTGCGTTTTTGCTTCATCAACGTTGCAGTGCCTCCATCGGGTCAGGCGTTGGGCGCTGATCACTTTGTAGTGACGGCTCGAAAACAATTCGGATTCTCGTCAGTCCGAAGCTATCTGGCCCCGCGCCGCGCCTGACCAGGCAGTCAACGTAGTCTCAGCGTCACACAGCATTAGTCTCAGCGTGTTGGGGGCTTTGTTATTATCCACACGCATAAAATAATGTAATACGAGCAACATTTTGCTGGAATTACAGCAAGTATGACTTCAACAATAACGACTGAAAAGGGACCACTTCAACTGGATCAATACAAATTTCAAGATTAAAAAGCATAAACCAATGGTCAGTTCAAGATGGACGGATGGCATTCAGAGTGCCGGCTGGATGAGCATGAGCACGCTCAGTTCGCAGCACATTGCCCCCGTGTCGCGGATAAAACGGAGGATGAACTGGACGAGTGTGGTCTCCGTTGCGGCGAGGCGTTTCAGCGTTAAACAAGCTGGCTGCCGCGACCGCAATGCCATGCGTCTCCTGATGAAGGAGGTGAGGATCCTTGCTGCACATGTAATTGCAATGACAGAAAACTCAGGTTGCTCGACAGCTCCAGTATCAGGCGCCGTTACGCGGCTGGAACTTTCAGTCGCGTTCGTAGTGACGAGCAAAGGTGCACCCGGGCGTTGTCATTGTGACCACCTTGCGGTCTTCTAGTACGCTTTCGAAGACAGGTACAGTACTGGGCTAGATATCGTCGAGACTGTCGACGAATACATCGAAGTTTCGCCCGCCGTATCCCCCGCTCTAGCATTTTTGCGAACTTTATTGGACAGAGCTCTGAAGCACTAACACACACTTGCAGGCATAAATTGTGATTTCGGTGTACTAACCACCTCAAAGATCTTAGTTAGTGATGACTGGCCGGCCAAAAGAGAGACGCCGAATCTTGACGACGACCGAGTCTGGCATGAATATTCCCAGGCCTACTCTTGAAGTCGCTCAGACAGGCCATGTATTAAGTCTAACAGGTAGTTTGAACAAGGACTCTATCGACGATGTCGGTCACCTTCAACTTGTCATCGATTTCCACAGATTTTCCCACTAAGGCGCGGAATGATGAGCCTGGTAATTGTGCGGCTAAGACTTAGCGTAAGTATTAGCACAAACACTAGGCTCCAGTAATCCCGGTCAGCGCATCCGTATGTACTCTTCTTCCGCTGCCGTCGACACGCCATACATCCCGCTCGGTAAGGCCGCCACGCGAGTGACTTCTTTCGTTGGGTAGCTACCTCATCGACAAACGCCAAACCGACTATATGGTGTCCACAATGCTCGGCGGTCAGGCTTCAACGTCGAAGCTGCCTTTGATACGCTGACTCCGTTTCTTAGGATACGGTGCAGCTTCGCTTGGCAGCAAGATCGCGCGAGGAGCGACGGAGCCTTTCGTCGAGGCAAGGATCCTGCTCCTCTTCTCTGCGTCGGGATGCTCGCGTACTGCCCGTCTACGGACCACCGCGACGACACCGGCGCTCGATCTCCATGAGGTCCGACGGCAGATCTCATTCCTCTATTTGCTACCCCGGCAATACCCTGCAACGGCACTCCGTTTTCAGTTTTCACCTCACCAACATGAGCGTCCGCACACAGTACAACGACAACAACAGCTACCGCAAGATGCACAGTCTCAAGCTTACGGCCACGATCTTGACCCACTTGGCAACTCGAGCCACCCCGGCAATCCCCGGACGACACAGAACCAACCACACAAAACTACCTGGAATCCACTCGCTCTTCGCTATTGACGCAGCACACAACATTGCTGCGGCTCTACCGCCATTGCAATGTGCTGTCGGGCTCATCAACCTTGGCACTCCTATCAACCAGCACCAATCTCCCGTTACCAGCCCAACCAGACCCGTCGTGGGCTCCCCGACCAGCCCAGGGATGACACCGGTCAGCCCATTCCGCCAAAGTAACCCCACTTCAACTGCGTCTTTATCCTTCAGTTCGAAGACTCGGCGTCCGCTGTCACTACACGATTTGCTGACCACGGAGACCACGCCCGCTGCATCAACTCAACGCTGCACAAATGCCCACCACAGGCGCCAATGCGGCATTGCGGACTGCCACAAGTACGCCTTGACTGGAGGGTTCTGCATCAGACATGGCGGTGGCAAGCGCTGCAACTTCGAAGGCTGTCAGACCGTGGCACAAAGTGGCGGGCGGTGCAAAGCCCATGGCGGCGGCAGCAAGTGCAAAGTGCCTGGATGCGGCAGCGTGGCGCGACGCAAAGGCTTCTGTATGACGCACGGCGGGCGTCAGCAGTGCAAGATCGACGGATGCGGTAAGTGCGCACACGGCGGCGGCTTCTGCATCTCGCATGGCGGCGGCAAACGCTGCTCCTCCAACGCCTGCAACAAGAGTGCACAGGCCGGGGGCTTCTGCTACAGCCACGGAGGAGGCAAGCGTTGTGCTGCGCCTGAGTGTTTCCAGGCCGCGCGCAAGGGCGGACTCTGCATCCGACACCGGAAGCTCGCAGCAGCGAAATGCCTCTAGCAGCAATAAGGCAGAGACCCGACTTCGACGTTGCTGTGACGTCGAGAGACCAATCAAACAGAAACAACCATCACTCACCACATTACTAACGTCGTTATTTTACGTAAAAGCATGCGTACTAAATTTTACAGACCAATTATCAAATTGTTTGAGCCTTTATCAGCTTTCACCGTTCGTCAGCGTTCATCAGTATATCATATTTTACGGGTGGTTCTGCGATTCATTTCATCCAATCGCATATCACCGCAACGGCCAGCAGCCAGTTTTTTCGTCTTCATTTCCCCTTTAGACCCGCCGACGCTAGAACGTCTGCCTGAGCCGCCGCCTGCCGAGAGAGAAGAAGCCAACGCGTGTGTGGCTGTCTTAGCTCCTTCTCTGACCGCCCCTCCGCCGCTTCTCCACCCGCTCGCGTCGCCTCCCGACCGAGCTAGACTCTGCACCCTTCGCTCGCCCGACTTACTTCCGTTAACGGGCGTTCACAACATGAGCGCCGCCTCAGCCGTCTCTACTACTCGCCCCGCGCGTCTGCCCGGGATGTTCGGGACCACCATGACGCCGCCGGCTCAACGGCGTCATCTTCTCGGCGCTTAGGCGCCGGGAAGCCGCCTCCTGACGCGCTCTCGGCGCCATGGCAAGCCGCAGACTCGCTCCTGCGTTTGGACGAGAATGATGGTCTGTCGCTGCTGCCTGAGAGCGCGTTGGAGGCGGCGAGGGCTTGTCGGGACTTGGTCCAGGACAAGCTCAACGAGAGGAGGGATATTGTGGTGCAGGGAGGAGAGAGGGAGAAAACCCAGAAGGAAGACGTGGAGGAAGACTCGCTCAATGTGGACGAAATCAGCGACTTGTTCTCGTGCGTGGAGCAGGAGGAGATGTCCGGAGTGGACTTTAGTGTGTTCATCGAAGACGAGGATGCCGTCAATGTGGAGGAGATCAATCAGATGCTCTCGGGCCTTGAAGATGGCAAGTCGTGCAGTGTTGACGACAGCGTGGAGGTGACGTCGTCCCCTGTGGATGTTGTTGACACGAAGGAGCTGGAGATTCAGATGGAAGCAGATGTGGACGAGTCGTTTGGGTTCAGCAGCTCATTCGATGACGTCGCAGCTAGCCAAGAGCAGGAAGACGCAGACGCGGAGAATGTAGCCATGTTGTCGGAGATTTTCTCTGCAACATTGGAGGACAAGGACGCAGCTGAACCGGTAGCAACTTCGCAACCGACGCACTCGCCCGCTGACTGTGAGGACGCCAAGAATGTCGATTTGGTGGCAGAGCTGTTTACCTCGCTTGAGGAGAGCAGCGAAGCAGACCAAGAAGGAGAAGTACCAGACAGATCGGCGACGCAGGATTGGATTGATGCGCTGGAGGTGGACAACGTGGCTTCGTTGTTCTCAGAGCTGGAGCAGGTAGAGACGACGCAGATGAAGACGCAGACCCCCGTTAAGGTGGATTCGCGGGTATTTGTGCCCACGTTTTCTGTGCGAATTGAGGGCGGCCAGCGACAAGGAGAACGTCGTCCGGTAGTTGGCCCCAATAGTCATCTGCTTGTAGGTCCACCTGGCGTCCTATTGGCTGGTCCGCCGGCTCCGTCTCGCGAGGAACGCGTCGGTCGCTGGAAGTCGAAGCGGAAGACGCGGTCTTTCACCACCAAGCAGCCAGACCCGTCACTTTCTGACACGAGACGCGCTAGTGCCGCCAAGCGCCAACGCGTCAAGGGCCGCTTCATCAGTGACACACACACGTTCGTCTCCATCACCGCGCTCCAGAAGTGATTCATCACCCGCATCGATTCCTAGATCCAGTTTTATTCTCCCTCTTGAAATGCATTGCAAGCTTCATCATCAACTTGTTCTCGAGATGCTTCTTGCACTGCAAACACATCGCAGATTTGTTTTCCTCCAATCACTGTGCTACTGTGCATTTCTACCAATAAGATTATGCTGAGAAATGATAAATTTAGTTCTAGAATTAACACAGTCTGACAGTTTCGTTTGCGCTAAAAACAGATTCTGATACTATACGTTTTTAGAATCCATGTGATTTACACGTCCTGTAGTACCGCAGGTTCAACCACCCACATGGTCCGACCTTCTCGCCATTCCTGAATTCGGCAATGTGGAGCTACATGGCGTCGGCGTTGGGCATTTTGAGTCCCATCGAGGGCACGGCCACCGGTACACCTCCCAGCAACCAGGACAGCGATATCGAGCGTTCATCCTTTCGCTTACGCTGCCGCGGGTGGCACGACAGGTAAACGAAAGGGCGTCGGGTGATTTATTTAGCAACCCAAATTTACATTTTTTAATTTTTTTTTTTTAGAGAGAACGAGCTTTTTCTGTCGGTCCCCAAGAACACTACGGCATGTTGCAATGCCATATTCTTCCCTGGCGATGTGCAGGACTTCAAGGCGACCATGGATGCAGGCCCCTTTGCAGACTACAGTGACTACGCTTATGAGGCCGTGGCGGAGCTGCTTAGCGAAAAGTTTGGAAGTACCTGCAATGTGTGGGTCGTGCGGCCAAGTCGCTTCAAGCATGGAGCCTACAGCAGCTTTGATAACTTCGTGACGACCAATGAATATGGAGCAGCTACAAAATGTACAAGTGGAACTGTAAATTGTGATGTGGTGAAATGAATTCTACTAACGGTGGTTCGATACAGACGACCCGACAGCATTTGCTACGAAGCACTTGGCGTCGCTGATGCAGAACACGCAGGCGACGCTGAGACGGCAAGGAGGTACAGACCTTTCTAGTTTTGAAGGTATGCCTGGACTCTACTAACGTGTCATTCTAATTCTTAGTGAACGTGTCGACTGCGCTCCCGATGCATCTACTCGGCTTTAGCAAGGGTGGCATCGTGCTGAATCAGCTCGTGACTGAGCTCGTACGGTACTCGTTTAATAAGAAACGCTCAAATTGCGGTCAAGTTCGACAAGGATCTGTATTTGCAAGCACTCGACAATTCTTCGCAGCGGTAGGTGACTGGATTTGATACTATAGCAGTGGAGATGGCTGTTCTGAATTGTTTATTAACTATGTCGGCCGTTGCTTTTAATCATTATGAGCAGATCTATTCCATCCATTGGTTGGACGCCGGTAATGGCTCCCTTGTAGGGGCTATGCCTACGGAAGAGACGGCTCTAGCGGTGCTCTCTCGATACGAGTAAGTTCCTTGAACGGCTAAGATATTGTTTATATACGTGGTGTTAACCTATTATTATGTGTTTTGCCGCATCAGACAACTCAGGCTGTTTGTGCACGTGACACCTTATCAGTACGAAGCCAGGCAGCGACCATGGATTAAAACCGAAGTGAACAGTTTTGTCAACAAGATGAATGTTCTCGGCGCCGATATTCAACTTATTATGTGCGTACAAATTGAGCTGACTGGGGTATTATATGTCTATCTAACGTGACAATGCTTTTTTATTTTCAGCTATTATGAAGGCGACGAGGGCTCACTAGCATCCCATTTTCATATTTTGCAAGATTTTGAGGCCAGCCGTTCATTCAAATCGAAAGGTGAAGGGGTTGTGAACTCACCAGAGCATGCTGTACAGCCAGTTCGGATTCGAGTTTGCACGTAAAGTTAATTATGAATGCAACATCTTCAGTACAGTCCGGATTCTCGGTTAACCATGTATGTACTCATTGCGTCTTCCACGCCAAAGGCAGGAAAATTCAATACTACACTTTACTATAAGTATATGTAGTACGTTGGAGCCATCATTTTGCCGGAATAAAACTCCAATATAAGCTCTAGCAATAATAACAATTTCCGCAGTTTAAACACCGACAAAAAATTTGACTGTGTCTCTCCAAATCGACCAGTGTCATCTACCACAAAAGGACATCACCGAGAGCATTGTGACCAAGAGGAAATGACAGTCGTCCTCGGTCCGCTCTATTTAATCCTAGATACCTGAAGATGGGGCTGTTCCGAGTAGGTGAGATTAGCCATTGTATCTAGAAATAGTTAAACGTCACCGAAGCACAGCAGCTTAAAGCACTGTTGACATTTTGTTTCAGTTTATATCAGGATACATGAAATAAAATGCTGCCTCAAGTATTTAACAATAAAAATCCACTTAGCTTTCAAACCGAAACCAAATTACACTTCAAATTAATGAACAAAATGTTGCAATTATGACAGAGGGTTTGTTTTACCCAAAATAATATCTGTCGAAGTGTAGGCAAGAGATAGAGAAAAGCTAATCAATTCTTAAAATAATAAATCTGTCAACTTATTATACCCAACTGCC